GATACAATGTAACCGTGCTAGGAAAAGAAAACTGGTGAGAGCACAGGGAGAAAGCATGACTCCGTCTCAGTACGCAGTCTTACCTGCCCTCACTGGGTAGCAGGCCAAATACAAGTCACACTTAACAGTGAGAAAACAAGCCACATGAACAGTTACAGACATGTATAATAGCTTACCATTTACAAAATGGAGATTTCCTTTCTTTCTTTCTCTCTCTTTTCTTTTCTTTTGTAAGCTCTCACTAAGTAGTTAAGCTGGCCTGGAACTTACTGTGAAGCCCAGGTGGCCTCAAACTAACAATCTCCTGCCTCTTCCTCCTAAAGTACTAAGATTACATACCTGTGCCACCAGGGTTGGCTTAGAATGGCATTAAGAGCTGTCAATTCAGTACTAAACACCAAGTACTTTAAAGGTGATTCATGCTGACATCTTGTGTCAGAGGACATAGTTGCACCAGTTAGTAAGAGACCAGTCAACATTCTTGGACAGAGGGGACAGAGGCTCATGAGCACCTACTCTTAACGAGGGAGCTGTGGACAGCTAACGGCTTCTGGGGAGGGAGAGTCATTTTTCTTTAAGGGTGTAGACCTTGGTAGGTCAATCACACTTCAGTGTATAATCCCACACACCACCTGGTAGTAAATGGGCAGGGCAAACTGGACTTGATGGGAGATTATATATATATATATACATATACATATACATATACATATGTATATGTGTATATATATATATATATATTTTAAAGTCATGAAGTTGGAGATGAGAAAGGAAGATCTGGGAGAAGTTGGGGGAGGGGCGGAGGGGTTAAATGTGATCAAAACAATTGTGTGAAATTTTCAAAGAATTACTAACATGTATAAGGGGGAGGAAGGAAACTAGTACCTGATTTTTATTTTTATTATTACCATTTTTTTTGAGTCAGGGTCTCATGTAGCCCACAAGCTAGCCCTGAGTTAGCTATGTCCACAAAGCTGGCCTCAAATCCTGGTCTGCTCGCCTCCACATTAAAAGTACTGGGATCGCAGGCTAATGACTTCAGTGACTTAGTTGGTTTTGTTAAGGTTTTCTTTCTTTCTTTCTTCCTTTCTTTCTTTTCTTTCTTTCTTTAAGATTTTATTTATTTATTTTATGTAGGTGAGTACACTGTAGCTGTTTTCAGATACACCAGAAGAGTGCGTCAGATCCCATTACAGATGGTTGTGAGGCACCATGTGGTTGCTGGGAATTGAACTCAGGACCTTTGGAAAAGTAGTCACTGCTCTTAGCCACTGAGCCATCTCTCCAGCCCCTTGTTAAGGTTTTCTTAAATTTGTTTGTTTACATGCATGTGTGCGTGTTCTCTCTCTCTCTCTCTCTCTCTCTCTCTCTCTCTCTCTCTCTCTCTCTCATGTGTGGGCATTCATGTGTGTATCTACTATTTGAGTAGATCTTTGTTAAATGCTACTACACCTGACTAGCTTCTAGAAACTCTCCTGTCCCCTCCACACTCCTCCCAATCACCAAAGCATCTGTGGGAGTACACCTGTGCAGGGAAGCGCTACCTTGTGCCACGCTGGGAAGGCCACTGGTTTTCCTCTCAGTCCTCCCCCTCCCCTTCCTTTTTTTCCTTAGCTTTAACTTGCCAGTGCTTCTCAAGGGCAGCATACACTCGGCTTCTGAAGGTGGACTGTGTTGGTACTTAAGTCTAAAATTCTTTCTAAAACTTTTTTTTTCTTTTTGAGGCAGGGCTTCTCTGTGTAACCTTGGCCTTGAATTCACAGAAATCTATCTGCCTCTGTCTCTGAGTGCTGGGATTAAAGGCATGTGCCACTACCACCAGGCAGAGTATTCTTACTGACTACTAGTTTATTTATTTTGGGGGTTGGGATAGAGTTTTACTATGTAGCCTGGCAAGCCTGGTACCATGTAGGTGGCCTTGAACTCTTAGCAGTCCTCCTGCCTCATTGTGCCCTGCCATACCTAGTTCAAGTAGACAGTTCTGCATCCTTCCTCAGAACCATTTGGACAACAAATTTAGTAAACCCTGAAGTGGATTCCAAGTTTTCTTTTTCTAACTGACAATTTTAAAGCATTGTTTCTTTTTGAGCTTCTGAAACACAACATTTTAGGAGTAATTGGTCACCTGGCTCAGTACCAAGAACGTTGATATAGGTTACATGTAAAAGGCCACACAATCAAGACTAAGGCAAAAAAAAAAAAAAAAAAAAAAAAAAAAGAGCAAGCAGGGGAGTAATTAATTAATTAACATAGAATGCAGCGAAGCTAAATCAGAGGAAACACAAAGGGCCATAAACAGGAGAAAGACTGAAGTCTGACTGCGGTCCACCATGTTCATGAGTAATGAAAAACTGACACAGCTTCAAAGATAGTGTCCCAGACAGATCCTAGCACAGAAAAAAAGCTGCTATCAACATGAATTCTGGAGTTTGATTAACATATAAATATTAACCTTTCAGCTTTGACAAAGGGATCACAGTTGCATGTCATTGCACTAGCTGGTTTTCATCACCTGGACAGAAATCTAATTTCAATTGAAGAACGGCCTCCATCAGACTAGCCTGTAGGCAAGTCTGTGGGGCATTTCCTTGGGTAATGACTGATGTGGGAAGACCCAGCTCACTGTGGACAGTACCACCCAAGTACTTAAGAAAGCAGGCTGAACAAGCCATGGAGAACCAGCCAGTGAGCATCTTTCCTCTACTTCAGTTCCTGCTTTGGCTTCCCTCAATGGCCTGTGAGATGAAATAAACCCTTTCCTCCCCATGCTTTTGGTCACAGTGCTTATCACAGCAATAGAAACCCTAACTAAGATACTTATAATAGTGGGAACTGGGTAAAGACTACATGGGAATTCATTATTTTTGCAATTTTATTAAAAGCTTAAAATTAGCTGAGTGCTTGCATTTAATTCCAGCACCCGGGAGGCAGAGGCAGTCAGATCTCTATGAGTTCCATGCCAGCCTAGTCTACATAGTTCCAGGGCACCCAGGGCTATGCAGTGAAACCCTGTCTCTAAACAAACAAGCAAGCTTAAAATTAAAACCCAATATTAGCAAACTGTTCAAAAACAAAAAACCTTAGCAACTCTGTAAATATTAAGTATAATATAGAAGAGTCATGAAAACTCATATACTGCTAATGGATTCCTCTGAAAGACACTCTGGCACTGTTTCATAAATTAAAGCATGCCCAGGACTTGGGCAGTAACTAAGTTGGCAGAGGGCTTATCTAGCATGTATGAAGCCCTGGGTTCAATCCCTAGCACCACTTACACTAGGCATGGTGGCACACATATATAATCCTATCACTCAAGGGAGGAGAGGTGGCAAAAGGGTCAGGTGTTCAAGACCATCTTTAGCTAAATAGAGTCAAGGACAGCCTGAGACATAAGACCTTATCTCAAAAAAACAAAACAAACAAAAAACCACAGCCATACACCATGACTCAGAAATTCTGCTTCCACATATGAAGCCATAGAAATGTCCATGTGCCAGGTGTGGCAGCAACACCTTAGTCCCAGCACTCAGGAGGGGGCCAGACAGATTTCTGAGTTTAAGGCCAGCCTGGTCTAACAGGCTGTGAGTTCCAGACAGCCAGGATAATACAGAGAAATCCTGTCAAAGAAAGAAAGGAAGGGAGGGAAGAGGAAGAGGTAGGGGAGAGGGAGGGGAAGGGAGAGGGGAAGGGGAGGGGAGGGGGAAAGGGAAGAGGGGGGAAGGGGAGGGGAAGGGGGAAGGGGAGGGAGGAAGGGGAGGGAAGGGGAGGATAAAAATTAAAAGGAGAAAAAAAGAAATGTATATACATAAGGATGCTGCAAACAGCAACTCGTCTAATAGTAAAAGATGCCACCGACAGGACCACAGGTAAATCAACCTGTGAGAGGTTAGCCTGCAGGGTTGACCCTCACGACAGCTGTTTATCTCGCTTTCTGAGAGAAGCTCTTTCTGTCTGTCTCTGGGACTTGGGGCTTGCTGATTTTGCTGGACTGGCTGAAAAGCCCAGGGACCTTGCTGTCCCTGCCTCTCCGGTGCTGGGAGTACAAGTGTGCATACCATGCTGATTTTATTATTTGGATTTGAGGGATCGAATCTGGGTTGTCATGTCTGCACAGCAAGCACTACAAAGCATCTCCAGCCTCTAACCATCCCCAAACCCCTTTCTCTGCATGTGTGTTTTTGAGACCAGGTTTCTCTGTGTAGCTCTGGTGTCACTCTTTAGACCAGGTGGCCACAAACTCAAAATTCACTTGCTTCTGCCTCCTCAGTGCTGAGATTAAATAAACTCCAACTGTGCTTTAAAACTTTCTTCTTTTTTCGTGGAGGAAGAAACCTGGCTAAAAGGGATCATGGGAAAAGTGAAGGGAAAATGAAAAAGACTAAGCAGCAAGAGCCGTAACATCGAGTGATGCACGTAAGTCGGAGGGAACCACAGAGTCCCGGTGCTCCCCACAGAGTCCCGGGGCTCCCCACAGAGTCCCGGTGCTCCCCACAAACTCCAAGGCAGAGTAAGGACACATACACACACTCTGACCTAACAGTTCACAACAACCTGTGCTGGAGAGATGGCAGGGACTCAAAGTATGCACTGCTCTTCCAGAGGACCAGAGTTCCATTTCCAGCACAGTAGGTGTCTCAGTATCCAAAACCTGAGCCACTGTAGGCATGGACAGTCTTCATCTCATAATTACTCCATTTTGTTGTTGTTAGCATGAAATATTTCATGACTAACAACTATTTAAAAGCACCACATATCAATCTTGCTCAAGTAAAACCCTAGTAACTTACAATGGTCTGAGCAGCCTTCCTTGCTTGCCATCCAGTACTGACAGAGACCTACACCATTAGACACTGAAGCTGGGCCAGGGACACAAGGCATCGCTAGGATACCTGCCCGCCGTGAACGAGGCCATGGGTTTGATCCCCCAGCAAATAAAAAATATTTAAAGCTTTTAGACACAGTCTTAATTATTCTAAAGGGAAAGACTGTAAGAGTCATACCCAGCCGCCTTGCTGAATGATGAACTCCGCTGCGCGGTCCTCCAGATACATGACGCCAAACTGCAGCAGCGTGCTCAAAGGCTCTTGACCACGGCGTGTCAATTCCAAAAGCATTTGTTGTAGCAAAACTAGAGGCACCAAAATCTTCAATGCAAAGGTAAAGACATAAAAAACATAAAACTGAAGTTCTTACAACGGATTTTATGTTCAACGGTGAAAACTGTAATGCAGACACACGACTATGGCTATTTCATTCTCACTAGGATAGAGCATCAACTCCTTCTACAATCCTTCAGGCTACGTGTGAATTTCATATAAGAGGGGACAGGAAAGTGATTATATGAAAACAACCATGGGTAAGACATAGCATACAGAAAGTCACACAATAATTAATTATAATGAAAAACTACTAAAAGCAAAAACTAATCTAAAAACTGCAGCCACCCTAGCTGTTAAAAAAGAACAAGATTGAGCCGGGCAGTGGTGGCACACGTCTTTAATCCCAGCACTTGGGAGGCAGAGGCAGGCAGATTTCTGAGTTCGAGGCCAGCCTGGTCTACCTAGTGAGTTCCAGGACATCCAGGGCTATACAGAGAAACCCTGTCTCGAAAAAACCAAAAAAAAAAAAAAAAAAAAAAAAAAGGAACAAGATTGTTCAGTCATCAATTACCAAAATGTAAGTCAACACACACATACATATGCACACACATACATATGACTTACAGTGTCTCTGGAAAAAAATATACAAGAAACTAGTAATGGCACTCACTTAAGGAACTAGGTGACTGAGGGCAGGGTGAAGGAAAGGTTTCATCTTTGATTCTAGTATTTCTGTACTGTTTTTCAAGACAGGGTTTCTCTGTGTAACCCTGGCTGTCCTAGAACTCACTCTGCAGCCCAGGCTCACCTTGAATTCAGAGATCTGCCTCCCAAGTTTTGGGAGCAAATGCTTTTATCATCTGCTTGAAAACAAGGACTTTTCATGGTTGGTGCTTAGGAGACAGGCCTCATGCTTGTGGCAATCCTTTTGCCTTTGCCTCCAGAGAGCTGAGATTACAGGTGTGGGTGAGGGATCACACCTGGCAAATTAATAACTTTTACAGTTACAAGCTACCTTATGAAAGTCATCTAAAGTCAAATGTAAGGAGAGACATTATAAATTTAAATTATGCTTAATAACACTGTGGCTGAATACTTAAAATAATCATAATTCACAACAGACACTAACTAGCTATTCCTTCTTTTCAAAACAAACAAAACAAACAAACAACAACAAACCTAACGGGCTGGGGATGCAGAGTACCAGAGGCCCTGGCTCACTCACTAACATCACAACTTAGAAAGCCAGAGATGGAGAGAAGAAGAGGGAAGGAGAAAGGAGGGAGAGGGCAAAGTAACCACAGTCAGGTAGCCATCTGCATGCAGGCGCTTGTCTCAAACATCAAAGTCTCTCCAGGACCTAAGAAGGAATGCACGAGGAAATAACCCAGTCTCAGTTCCTTGTTACTAGATTATCAAGGAAATAATGGAATGGCAAAGTATTTCCTCAGAAGAAAACAAACTTTTAAAATGAGTCTGTTTCACAGTAATATCCTTTAGCTTTTACTTCAGGAAAAGCAGCCTAGAGGGAATTTACTTTGAAGTCTGAGTGGAAGAATGCAACACACATCTTCATTTTTGACATTCTCAAAGAACTCCAGCTCAAAATATATTAAAGCCATTTCTTACCACTAACGGACAAAGGGCTATGAAGAGTAAGATAGGCCTCTTACATAAGAAAACACATCAGGCTGTTTAAAACAAAACAAAATGGCCATTTATCTAGCCTAATACTGTGCCTTGAGCAGGAGCAGGTGAAGGACGGCTTGAGAATCAGTCTTGCAAATTCAAATCATCTCAACTTCAAAAGCCTGAGATGTCCTATACTGCAAAGCATTCAAACTTCCTATAATACTCCATAAACGTGTAACATTTTGAGACTGGGCATGCCTAACCTCCCATTATCAATTGGGGAAATGAACTGCAAACACCTTATTTTATGAGCCACTACATAAAATAACATTTCCTTTCATCGGTTACAAATTACCTCTTCCGTATGTATCAAAACCAGCACTGTCATTGAATACATAATAAATTAGTGTGAGTGTGACAACCTCTCCCGCTCCTGTCGCTGTCAGCTCAATCACAGCGCCTCTATTCACCAAAGCGTCAGTCTGTGAGTAACCTGTCTGCTCTTCAGCCAGCGCGCTCGGCTCCGGAGCTTTCCTTATCTGAGTTCTCGCTGCCATTCCAGTTCATCTTCATTGTATGGAACTAGCGCGCTCTCCTGGGCTGACACATCCTTGTTGATACTCGTCTTAGCAGACGTGATTCATATCCTCCACTTTCATTCCTCACACTATTCTGACTTCTTAAACTTACATGTATTTAATGACTGGGGAGGGGCAGGCTGAGAGTGCACCCGTACCTGACGGTCAGAGGACAACGCTGAAGAGCTCATTCTCTCCTTCCACCATGTGAGTCCCAGGTCAAACTCAGGTCACCAGACTAGATGGAAAGCACTTTCACCACTGAGCCATTTTGCCACCCCCGTTTTGCTTAAGAGGGGCTCTCATGTAGCTGAGGCTCACTTTAAACTACTCTTCTTCCTACTTATACCTCCCAAGTGTTAGGATTACATACCCACCACCACACCCAGCTCGTAATAATCGTTAAATGACTACTACACCAGGCTTACTCCTCTGACAACTTTTCTTAATGAACCTACAGACCCACTTGCTTTTATCTGTACTTTATTTATATTTCTTTGTTTTGTTTGAGACAAGTCTCATGTAGCCCAGGCTAGCCCATCACATAGTGGGGACATTCTTGAACTCCTGATTCCTTGCCTCTACCTCCCAGTTGCTGGCATCACAGACACATCAATGACCAGTTTAGGAGCACCAGTTTTTAAGCACAGTGTAGATAGATTATGTTTATATACTTAAACTTACTTTCCTATACAAGAAGCACCAAGAGTTACTTTTAAGTAGGGGTAAGAACATAGCTCAGTTGGGAGAGGATTTGCTTAGCATCCATGAAGCTACACATAAAACTAGATGGTGGTGGTTCAAGCCTGTAAACCTGGAAGATTACATGTTAATAACTGGAAGCTTAGAAGTTCAACCTCATCCCTGACCACATAGTTAGCCCGAGATTAATCTGGGCTAAATAAAATGCTGTTTCAAAAAACAAAAACAACAACAGGTAAATTACTTCTACAACTCATCTCTATCCCACGAGTACTCTATGTAATCTAAAACCCAATTTTGTTTTTTAGTACTACATTTTTTTTATTTTTTAATGTTAAAAGAAATGCTTGTCTTTTAATTTTTATTCTAAGTAATTTTCCCTCATGGGATAATAAATTCTGCATACGGAATATGTTTTCCTTAGACATTCTTGGGGCTGGAGAGATTGCTCAGTGGTTAAGAGCACTGTCTGCTCTTTTAAAGGCCCTGAGTTCAATTCCCAGCAACCACATGGTGGCTCACAACCATCTGTAATGGGACCTGATGTCCTCTTCTGGTGTGTCTGAAGACAGCCACAGTGTACTCACATAAAATAAATAAATGTTTAAAAAAAAAAGAAAGAAAAGAAAGAAAGAAATTCTTGTAATCAGATGTCCAAGAACCTTTCAGCACCAGAGAGGATGACTTCTACTGCCTTACCTTTATTCATTTATTTATTTAATTTCCTGACAGAGAATGAGGCAGAAAGACATTAAAAAAAAAAAAAAAAAAAGTATAGTTTGGCAATGAAAAAAAACAAATGTTCAGAAGAGAAATTGTAATTCTTAAAGACAAACTTCCTGCTCTGCCCTGGATGGTAAGACCCCTTAAATTCAAGGCATCAATTTATGAAAAGGCTTATTTGTTTGAATGGAGAGAGCTTGAACTAAAATACAGTTTAAGGGGCTCCCTGCTCAAAAACAATTGTCTTGGCACACACGCTGCTGTGTCTGTGGTCCAGGGCCAGGCTCCATCCTGAGCTGGCAGCAGAACGTGGCAGCAGCATCCACACGGCACTGGCTTTGCAGGCATGAAAGATGCAAGACTGAGAGCTTCATGAACTCTTTTGTTCAACGTCTTCCTGAACTCTGCTGAGGCCATACAACTGAAAGAGGCTTGGAGAGGCTACTGTGTGGAGATGTAAAAGTAAGGACTCCATTGCAGTGGAGACCCTGGGACACCAGAGACCATGGCATCCACCAAGGAAAGATGCAGGTATGGAGTGGAGCTGACTCAAGAGGCAGGCTACACGTCCACAGTGTCTCCTCACACTCTGCCTTTGCAAAGTAACAAGCAGGCGACACAGTATAAGACAACGGATAATCACATGACACAGTGGAAAAGCTAGAGCCAGCAGATCTTAACCAGTTGCTACTCAAGAGATCCTACACAAGTTATTTAACCCTTTCCTGAAGAGTCATCAACTTAAGTAAATAAATAATAGAACAGAAGCTCATTGTGCTGGGGGTGTAGTTCATTAGTAGAGTTCTTGCCTGGCCTGCACAAAATCCCGGGTTCCACACTAGGTCAACAGGGTATCCCACCCCTGTCCAGGCCCTAAATAGGGCAATAAAATCCACTGTGCATTCTTCAAAGAGTTTGGAATGATTAAATGATATATGACATGAGATATACTATTATGTGAACTATAAAACACAATGGTACAAAACTTTTAAAAGAACCAGAAGAGGTTATCTATTAAATAAACATCTCATGTTAACAAGTAACTACCTGGAAACAAACGTCATGTTTAATACAGAGGAACAGAGAAATGATGGGAAACTCAGGAAGCAAAGAAAAGGAGGCCAGCGTACTACAGAGCACATGTTGAGATACACTGCAGAATCTTGTAGTATTTCGTTAAAAATAAAGGAAAACTATTCACTTAATATAGTTTGGATTTTTGCATTAGTGCTAAGAGTTCTATGCTGTGTGATGCTAATAATTCTTTCTATACCTTATTATTAGCACTAACATTTTATAAGAGCAAAGATAATGTGGTTAATACCTTATTCCATCCGGTGGTGTGGACTGCAGTCTCCACTGTACATTCACGATATGCCTCATATGTCACTGGCCTGTGGACATTTTGTTAAAAGTCTGTGTCACAAAAAAGGACTAAAATTTCAGATGAATATATATACAGACATTATTGTATGGCTGAACTTTTTTCTAACATGACAAGGATTGTTCAACATATTGCTTTTCTCCCCCAAGATATGGCTTTTAATATTTGGTATGTGTTTCTTCCCAAAACATTCTCTGTATTGCTGGGGAGATCATTATAGCCTAGAAAGATAAGTATCCTAGCCATTATTTTTTAATGACGTGGCATTTATCTGGTAGGACTTCTACGTTGTAGATAAATGCCTGAATTACAGATAGAGAATCAAACAATAACATGTAAAACTTAACTCAGTTAAATGAAAACACAATATAGTCTTTTTTTTTTTTTAAGGCAAAAGTCTAAGCCTGGAGTGGTATAGAACATCTGTAATGCCAGCACTCAGGAAGCAGAGGCAAGCACATCTCTTGAGTCTAAGGCCAGCCTGGTCTACAGAATGAGTTCCAAGACAGCCAGGGTTACACAAAGAACCCTAATTCAAAAACCCAGAGTGGGAAAAAAGTATAAATGTTAAAAACTAATAGGTTAGCCGGGTGGTGGTGGCGCACGCCTTTAATCCCAGCACTTGGGAGGCAGAGGCAGGTGAATTTCTGAGTTCAAGAGTTCGAGGCTAGCCTGGTCTACAGAGTGAGTTCCAGGACAGCCAGGGCTACACAGAGAAACCCTGTCTCGAAAAACCAAAAAACAAAAAACAAAAAACCAAAAAACCAAAAAACAAAAAACCTAATAGGTAGGTTGTGAAGACTTTTTAAAGCTGAGGGAGGTCGTAGCCAGGCGGTGGTGGCGCACGCCTTTGATCCCAGCACTTGGGAGGCAGAGACAGGCGGATTTCTGAGTTTGAGGCCAGCCTGGTCTACAGAGTTCCAGGACAGCCAGGGCTATACAGAGAAACCCTGTCTCGAAAAACAAAAAACAAAAAAACAACAAAAGCAAAAAACAAAAGCAAAAAACAAAACAAACTGAGGTCCTGGAAAGTGGAATAGACACGGTAATAAGTGCTGCCCTATTTTTTACTGGAATCTAATATAAAATCCTGGAAGAGGCCAAGCCTAGTGACCCACGACTATAATCTAAGCACTGAAGAAGCTGAGTTACAGGCTAGCCTGAGCTATACAGTGAATCCAAAACAGTTAGGGCTATATAGCAAGAGCCTATCTCAAAAAACAAAAACAGACAAAAAAAAAAAATCACGGAGTGCAGAAAAATAAGCATGTCTTAGTATCTGCATATTAGTCCTAAGTCAGACCAACCCCTGAATTACTGTAAGAAACCACATGTCTCACTCAAATTTGAAGAACTTTAAACATTGTTTCCTTTACAAATTTAAAACAAACAAAAACATAGTAACAAATAATGTGAAGGCAACAATACCTTGGAAAATAAAATTATCCTTCCCATTTGGGATAAAGTATTAACAGAATTGGTTTTTTTTAAGTGGAGGCCAGGTGTAGTAGCATACGCCTTTAGTCTCAGCACTCAAGAAGCAGGCAGAGCTCTGAGGTATCAAGGCCAGACTGGCCTACATAGTAAGCTCCAGGACAGCCAGAGTAACGTAGAGAGACCCTGCCCCATACAACATAAATAAATAGATTAAAAAAGAAAATAAAAACCGGGAGGATACTTGTTTTTTTCTATAGGTTTTAAAAATCCAATTCCAAAAGCTTTTTCTGCCCTGACCACTCTAGCCTGTGGTTTCTTCAGCGGGTGAATGCATAAGAACAGCAGTAACTACTGCTTCTTAGCGGCCTAGAGTCTAAGGCTCTGCATTTCCCTACTGATACTTTACATCATACAGTATCACTTAGGAAGCCAAAGTTAGAAAAAGTTAAGGGAGCACATATCCTAAAACCACGCCTGGCAAACACCCAACTGGATCTAGTCCCAACAGCACACTGCTTCTATTTCAAGGATTCAGTCAAGGATTTTGATATATGCCAAAAAATGTCCAGATGTCACATGTAGCTTAAAAAAAAATTGCCACATAGTTATTATGCTTAACATACACTGGCTTTCAAAGAGTCAATAAGAATAAGAAAAGAATGTGAAATATCCCACTAATAACTTTTGGGTTTTTAAAATATTTGACTATACTGATTAAAGATATATTAAATTTTCACCAACGTCATATTTTATCTTCATGTGCCATGCACTGTATCTACTGAAGAGCACTGGTCTTAAGACCTCAGGAACCGCTCTGATGAAACAGGTAGCACTCAGGCACAGGTCAGCATCAGCTCACTGCTACAGTGCTGTGGAGGGAGGAGTCACACCATGCCTCTACCTAGTGATACCACATTCTCCTTAGTGTGTAAGGTTCCTTTACAAGTCTTGGGCTTTAGGCTTTGGGGCTTTGGGATTACGTAAGAGAATCCTGTAAAACTCAGACTTCCCCAGCTCCTCTACCATCCACCTACCTCTATCTCCCTGAAGCTCTACTGTAGCTATCAGTTCTTTTCCTTCCTTTCCTGAACTGTGTGTGTGGCTGCTGTGAGTCACTGAAGTCCTTACAGGGAATTTGGCTATCAGGCTACATATTTTATCATCCTTCAGAATGAAATAAGATTTAAAATACTATATGTACAAACATTCATGCACATGGAACATATAGCAGGTTAAAACATTCATATTTTAATACATAGAGAAGCAAGTAGCTGACTAACCAGCCTTCCCCTTATGAGGTCTTAGAATATAGCAGAGAAGAAAGGGTACCTTTAGAAATCAAAGGTATTCCATATAAAGAAGTCAAGATTATTTTCCCACTTTAGCAAAAACATTTGAAGAAGGAGACATTTCCACTATAAGAAACTGCCTTCAACCTGTATAATAATTGCATTGTTTCCAATGCATTAGTATCAGAGCTTAAATTTTTCAAAAGTAGACTTCTGAACAAATTTTACTTGCTATGCAACCAATGATAATGCATATTCCATGACAGGTAAGGAAAGTATTCTTGGCAAAAACGACCTAAGACAGGCTCAGTCTTGTGAAACAGTGATCATGGGAGTGTTACACACTGTTTATTGCCTTGCTTGTTCTTTGACTATTTGTGTTTATTATCTTGCTTGTTCCTTGACGATTTGCATCTATTGTATTTCTAGTTCCTCAACCTAGAACTGACCTTAATATTTGCATGTAATTAAAATGGATTAAAAGCAAAAAAGAGGAGAGGGGATGGGATGGGGGTTTCTAGTGACGGGAAATGAGGAAAGGCATCTGAAATGTAAATAAATAAAATATCCAATAAAAAAAAGAAAATAGCTATCACTATTCAGGGTTTGGGAAAAGTAAATATTCATCTAAATCAGTTTGTCTTAAAGTAAAAACAAACTCAGGGCACAGTGGCACAAACCTTTAACCCTATCACTTGGAAGGGCAGAGGCAAGGTGAATCTCTGTGAGTTCCAGGCCAGCTAAGATTCCACAGTGACAGACCCTGTCTGAAAAAATGAAGTCATACCATTCTGTTCATTGGAGAGCTGGTAATATTGCAGCCAAATTACAATTACCAAATGAAGAAACTGACATATGAAGACTGAGATGATTTGCATAAAGGGGGCTGGAGAGAGAACTCAGCAGTTAAGATGAAGAGCACTTCCTGCTCCTGCTCAGTTCCCAAACACCCACACTGAACTCTGTAACTCATGGTCCAGGGAACTCAGTGCCTTTTTCTGACCTTCTGGGTATCAACATACATATAAATAAAAATAAACCTTAAAGGCCAGGCATGGTAGTGGCACATGCCTTTAATCAGTACTTAGGAGGAAAAGGTACACAAATCTCTGTAAATTTGGTGAAACCCTGACTCAAAAAAAGACAAAGAAAATAAAACTTTTAAACTTGTACTCTCAATATACACACTATATGAACACTTAAGGACAGAGAATCTTAGTGAACCCTGCTCAATCCCCCCTTCACCTCTTCAGGATACATGGAGCTCAGGGACAGCAGCTCTGCTGAACACTTTAGGAAGCCGCACTGCAGACCCAAAGTTCCTGCATAAGCTTTAATTCCTGGCCACTCAGATTGTCCTTTCTACATTTCTTTAAGCTTGTGTCTGAGGTAGAAAATCCAACTATGGTTTCATTCCACTGAGTATGATTATGAATTTTATATTTGCTCATTTTACCAGAATATGCAGAAATAAAACCCAATTACTTCCTGAAAAACATGGCCAACTATAAACCCTGACTACATGAGAGTAAGGAATGTCCTTACTACACAGTGATTGGCATCTGAATTTCAGCCATTTGGTGAGGAATAAATTTCCTCCTAAGTGACCTATTTTTATCAAGTCATACTAATCCTGTAATTCATTACTAATTCCTCAATGATTCTCACTGAAAAATTAGGGGAAGCTGACTTTTGAAACTTATCTTAAGTGAAGGGGCTCTATGTTAGCATGCTTTAATTTTCACTAGCTTCTCGACTGTAGCTTTCTTATGGTGAGGGTCATATCTGGAAGGAAGTCATCGTAGGAGTACAGAAGCTACTCTCAGGCAGATAGGCAATCCCAAAGGATAACAATATCTGTGATATAGCTACAATTCTGAATACAGAAATCTAAAATACCAAGATAAACTAATCTCACATTCCAGTACACAAAGCCTTTGATGTAATATCTAGATAGAGATGAGCACTACATGGACCAGAAGCAGAGAGTGACCAGGACAGGGCAATGGCTTGTGTTTATATAGCACAGTACATGCATCTGTTGAAACCTGACAGCTCAACAGGTCAATAAAAACCATCAGGGCTTTTTGGATATTTAAATCCCTGCTTCAAGGCAAATCTGGCATTCAAAACACAAAGCAGATGTTTTAAGCTCAAAGGAAAGAAAAGTGAAGAACCACCAAAGCAAAGCCTCAGCCATCAGCCAGCCCAGGATGCTGGACACCCAGAGACCCCTTAGAAGAGGCACACTCTACTCAGCAACTGCAACTCACTGGCTGAGGAGCGTCTGCAATGCTTTCTGCAAAGGCTCTTTCAGATCCTGTGACACTCTTTCTCCAAGATGAGCCAAGCAGTCTTCTATGGAGCTTTCAGGGTTAGCAGGGCTAAATACTGGTGAGGTGTGACAGTCAAAGCCTGTGCTGGTGAAGGCTGAAGACAAGAGAAAACAAAGACCAAAATCAGTAAGTGGTACCAGGGCTGGAGAGATTGCCAGTAGTTAAGAGCACATGCTGTTCGCTCTTCCAGAGGACCAGGAGTGGATTCCCAGCACCCAGTCCCAGGAGATCCAAAGCCCTCTTCTGGGCCTCCATGGACACTAGATACACACAGACATACATGCAGACAAAACAACCATATACACTTTTTTAAAAAAGTACTAAAAGTCATGCTACTAGCCAGGTGTAATGGTGTACATCTATAATCTGGAGGATCTCAAAAAGGAAACCTGCCTGGGCTACACTGTGAGTTCAAAGCCAGCTGAGCTATACAGCTAGAACCTGTGTCAATAAAATAAAATAAAATATAAATTAAAAAATCAGTCAGGCATGGTGATACACACTGGGAAGGTAGAGGCATCACTGTGAGTTCCTGGCCAGTCTTGTCTACAAATTGAGTTCCAAGACAGCCAGAACTGTTAGACAGAGAAACCCTGTCTCAAACAAACGAAAAGCTGGGCATGGTAGCACACCAGGGAGATGGAGGCAGAAGACCAGCCTTGGCTAAACGGTGAATCTGAGGTCAATCTGAGTCTAATGAGATGATCTCAAAAAACATATTAAACAAAAAAGAAAGGAAAAGAAAAGAGAAGAAGAGAAAAGAAAAAGGGTGTGTTTATGACAGTCCATGAAACTAAGGTATTTACTGTTAAGAACCAGAGTTATAAGGTACTTGGAAAGATTAAATAATCACTATACATACTGATCTTGTCTGGAACAGAAAATTGATAGGTCCTAAATTTTGAGGTTTTTATTGTCTTATTTTTTAGATGGAGGTCTCCATATATAGCCCAGGCTGGCTTTGAACTCATTCTCCTACCTCAGTCTCTCAAGTGCTGAGATTATAGGCATAAACCACTATGAATGGTCTATTATGAATGGTCTATTTGTAAATCTATCTATCTACCTATCATCTATTTTCTGCCAGTGTTTGTCTCACTGTGGTTCACCTGTATTTACTATGTAGCCCAGGATGGCCTCAAACTTATAAGAATCTTCATCTCTGTGGGGCGGTGGTGGCACACGTCTTTAATCCCAGCACTCAGGAGGCAGAGGCAGGTGGATTTCTGAGTTCGAGGCCAGCCTGGTCTACAGAGTGAGTTCCAGGACAGCCAGGGCTACACAGAGAAACCCTGTCTCGAAAAACCAAAAAAAAAGAATCCTTATCTCTCTGCCTCCTAACTGCTAAGACTATGAGCACAACCCAGCACACCCAGTTTGTTCATAAATTTCTATTCATCTTCTTTTGCAATTAACAAGAAACATAACCTATCAGTTGTTTATTGAAAGTTATTAGGCTTTATGTATTTAGGAACACACACACCAACAGTTTAAAAAACAGAGGCTATGAATTTTGAAGAGAGCATGGGAGAGGCACATGGGAGGAACAGAAGGAGGAAAGGAAAGAAAGGAAATGATGTAATTACAATGTTTCCAAAAATAAAATATTTTTTGTTGTTGTTTTTTTGTTTTGTTTTGGGGGCTTTTTTGTTGTTACTTTCCAAGACAGAGTTTCTCTTTGTAGCCCTAGCTGTCCTGGAACTTACTCTGTAGACCAGGCTGGCCTTGAACCCACAGAGAACCCTGTCTTGAAAACCCCAAAAAAAAAAAAAAAAAACCTTTGGAGGAGGAAGAAGCAGCTGTGGCAGTTGCTGCCAGATGTGGTAGTACACATCTGATTCTGTGAGTTTGAGGCCAGCCTGGTCTACAGAGAGAGTTCCTGGACATCCAGGGCTACAGAGAAGCCCTGTCTCAAAACAAACAAAACAAAAACAAAACAAAAAAAAAAGGAGAAAAAAATCAACTAAATCAACCAAACCAAAGCCAACAGAATATGCTCACTGCTCAGGAAAGTAGGAATGAACAGACCTTCAGAGACTTCTCTGTCCAAGGATTTCAGTTCTTCCTCAATCTCAGATTTAAGTTTTAATAAAACTTCTGGATTCAGGGACTGTGGAGCGACATCTAGTTGAACTCCTGAAACAAACAAGAGAAGACAAGAGAGGTTGCTATAGCAAGAGGGACAGATATGTTATTAGGATCCAGCGGCATTAGCCCCATGTGGAGTCTGTGGCAGAAGGGTCACTTCAGATCAGGACTGTAGAGCCAGCCTGGGTGTCATAGGAATACCTGATCTCAAAACAACCAACAGACAAAAAACAAACCTATTTATTAAGTCAGGAAACAAATCCATTTCATTATCAAGGCTGGAAGGTATTTTTGCAACAGTAACAAAGCTGAGATACAGACTAGCAGAAGAGCATCTGCCCAAATGCAGGCCCTCAGTCTGACCCCAGAATCGAAAAAAAGAAAAAAAAGAAAAAGAAAAGAAAAATAAGAAAGAGGAAAAACAAGAAGAGACAGCAATTAATAAAAGCATTTAGGGCTAAGTACTGAGAGTGAAGTCTAACATAGAAAAGAAATCCCCCCGGCTGGTGAAATGGTTCAGTGGTTAAGAACACTGACTGCTCTTCCAGAGGTCATGAGTTCAAATCCCAGCAACCACATGGTGGCTCACAACCATCCACAATGAGATCTGATGCCCTCTTACGGGGTGTTTGAAGACAGCTACAGTGTATGTACATATGATAAATAAATAAAGTGCACGTACATGTAATAAATAGATAAATAAATAAATAAATAAATAAATAAATAAATACCTTTAAAAGAAAGAAAGAAACCCCCGCTCATTTCTGCCAGAAACGAGAAAGAACAGACTCCAGAAACACACAGCAGGAGACAGAAGAGAATGATATCAACAGGCATTTTGGCTACTTGTTTCAAGTGAGTCTCACTTAGGCCTCCTCTCCTTAACTTTATCCAGAAGCATATGGAGATAGGGGTCTATCTCATCTCTCTGTGCTCTGTATTACAGAGCCCTAAGAAAGGCTCTGTCTCAGCATTTGGGAGTCAGAGGCTGCCAAGTTTGATGCCAGCCTGGTATGATAACAAATTCTAGGTCAATCGTAACTACATGTGTAGTGAAATCCTGCCTCAGAAGTAAACAGAGCTCTCAGTAAACAGCAAAAAACTCTGAAGAACTGTGCTCAGCCCAGAGGAAAGCACTAGAGCTTCCCGTGACAGATAAGTGATTCCTGGAACAAACTGATTCCTGGAACAAGTACCTCTCTGTTCTTGGCTTTGACTAAGAATCAATCTAGGACCTTATGGACAGCACAGCTTTGATGTCATGCTCAGACTGGAAATCTACAGTTTTCCTACTTCTCATTTTACTCCTTGGATTTTTCCATTGTATATGTGTGCAGGGCGGGGGAATGTATACAAGTGTGCATAAAATCATACATGCACTTGTGTGTACGTGTAAGTAGAAGACAGGCTGACATCAGATGCCTTCCGTGATTGCTTTATAACATTTCATTTATTTGTTGTTTGGTGAGATATATATATATATATGCATGCCTTTATAAATGTCTGTATACTGCATGAATGCGTGGTGTTCATGGATGCCCTAGAACTGGTGTTAAAAATGATTGTTGTGAGTTGCTGTGTGGTGCTAGGAATTGATCCCAGGTCCTTTGAAAGAGTAGCCAGTACTCTTTACCAACACAGTATTTTAATTTGGGAATTTAATTTTATTTGGGAATTTCACATCATGCACCCCAATCAAGCTCACTTCCCAGTCCTCCCAGGTCCACCCCCATCCTTGTCACACACACACACACACACACACTCACACACACACACAAAAGGGGTGGGACACAAGTCCAATTTGGATTGTATATACACTCACTAGAGCATGTTCAAATTCCCAGTGACCACCCCACCTAAAGAAAACTGAATCCTTTCCACCTGCATCCCAGCCAGAAGCCATCAATTGTGGAAAACTAGGCTTTAACATCCTTATCACAATATTTCTTTTGGCATGTTTAGTGTTTGTTTTTAAGATTTATTTATATATACATATATATACTATAAATATATATTACATAAATGTGTGTGCGCATGTGTGCACACACACTCTATTTGTATGCATGCTTGCATGACAGGAGAGGGCCATCAGACCCCATTGTAGATGGCTGTGAGCCACCATGTGCTTGCTAGAGTTGACTTCAGGACCTCTGGAAGAGCAGCCAGTGCTCTTAACCTCTAAGCCATCTCTGCAGCCCCCTTATCACTATTTTTAAGAGTTCTCTTTAATGGCTTCCTTTTCAGCTGTTACTTTTAGGGACTAGAAGGGTATGGGTTGTCATAGAAACTTTCTCTGTCCCTTTTTCTCAACTGTTCATCTGCAGGCATCAGTGGACACCACTGTGAAAGTAGCTTCCTTGCCTTTACAGTTGGTGGGAGTGCGAATCCTAGGTTTCTACGTGGTTTCTGACAACATCCCAGACCACAAACATCCACAGGGTCGCCAACATCAGCACATGCCTAGGATCTCCACTTGATTTCCAGTGGCGGCATGGACCATGGACCTCAACATGGCCATAGCCAGTGTTCTTAACTGTTGGGCCATTTCTTCAGCCCATCATCTTATTTTTCGAAACAGGGTCTTTGCTGAACTGGAGCACACTTGCTAGCCAATGAGTTCTCGGAATCCATTGGTCTCTGCCTCCCAAGTACTGGGTTATAGAACAATGCCACTGCATCTGGCTTTTAACCATGTGGGAGCAGGGATCCAGCTCAAGTTCTCAGGTTTGCGTGGTAGGCACTTTACTAACAGAGCTCTCTCCTGAGGCCTAGCATACATTTTTTTTTTTCAGAAGGAGATGAAATAAGAGTCTTAGTAAATAGCCCTAACTGGCATCCAACACAATCTTTCTGTCCCACATTCCAGTTGCTGAGACTTCAAGCATGTGTCATCATGCCTGGCCCCATACTGCATACTTATAAGCCACATCAAATTATATGTGGTGAAGAATGTTTTTTAAGTAACCTACCATGAGGCTAGAGAGATGGCTCAGTGGTTAGGAGTGTGAACTGCTCTTCCAGAGGACCCAGGTTCAATTCCCAGCACCCACATGGCAACTCACAACTGTCTGCAACACCAGTTCCAGAATAATCAGCACCCTCACACAAACATACATGCAGACAAAGCACAAACACATGTAAGTGCACATAAAGTAAAAATAAATCATAAAAAAAAATAAAAAAGAAGCAACCAAGCATGAATCTGCTGCCAGTGTCTTCACTATAAGCAACACACCCTATGCTTCCTTTTCACCTCATTGTCCTCCTTTTTCCTTTTTACTCCAAGCATCAATTTAAGTCTGCTTCTCCATCATGTCTTCAGTCTTCAGTGATGGTTTTGTTTTTTTAAGATAAGAGTCTCGACTATCCCAGGCAGGACTTGAGCTCACTAGATAGTCAAGGGTGACCTTGAACTCTGATTGTATGCCTCCATGTCCAGTTTTATGTAGTCTGGGGACTGAGCCTAGGGTTTATGCAAGCACTCTATCAACTGCCCTACATTCTTACTCTCCAGTTACACTTACCATGCTTGAAGTTCAGTAGAAGGCTTTCAGGCTCATTTAGAGAGTAACACGCAGCTAAACACTTACATGTACTCTAGCCTATATCTGATGCTTTTATACTTTGTTCTGACCAGATTACAAACACTTTGAGACACTTGCATTGTTGTCTAAGATTTATGTCAAATATGAACTAAGGAAAGACAAATACTTGGTAGTGGTGGCTGTCACTATCTACTGTGGTACAGACCTAAAGGACTATAGTGGATAGAAGAACATGTACAGAACATGACCTCACTGCACATACAGAACACACTGCATATACAGAACACACTGCAGGCAGAAAAAGACTCATACAAAAAAACCCTGAATTTCTATAACTTATACAGACAAAAAGATGGCTCATATATAAATGTAAAGAAATAAAAAGCTATTTACTACTGCTTTGAGGTTACTAAAATAGCAAAAATTTTAAAAAGTAAGTAAATTAAGAAGTAATTTTCTACAAGAGAATATGAAAACCAACCAACCACATATACAAGGCAATAAATACACCATTTATTTATGGCAGTGGATCAAGATAGGAAATATAAGGAAGGGAAGGAAGGAATCGGACCTCAACTACTGCCTCCACACGTATGAGAACTGTGTTCTCTAACCAAAGCGTAAGATGTCACTTCAGACTGACAGTCTGTAAATCACCAGCCCTCATCAGCACTTGCCACACGCACCGATGATCCATGAAGAAACAACATTCAAAAACAGACCTTCTGTCTGCAGTGGTAGCTCATGCCTGTAATCTCAGCATTTGGGAGACTGAAGCATAAGAACTGTCACAACTTCAAGGACAGGAGATAGGGGTTGGGGGAACTAATCATTCTGTTAAGTGATTTATTACTGAACTCTAGAACGTATGATTACAGTTTTTGTACACAGTCTCAAATAAGAAATAAGTGATACCATCTGTCATGAGCTTCTTTCTGGAAGACACGCACGTCCAAAACGTACACAGCCCCTACAACCACCACCAACCCACACAGTAAATGACATTTTCTTGGTTACCATATGCCTCACACCCCAGCACATTAAGGAGAAGCAGCTGATTCGAGGAGTGCCCATTCTCATGAAACTGACATGATGCTGACCTCACAGGACAGGTTGTCATACTTGATAATAAGCCATGTGGAAAGCCTACACCAGAAAAGGGCTACTGCTGTTAGGATACAAAAGGCTAGCTAGCTACCCAAGGACAGACAGACTCAGTGATCTTCATCTAATTAATCCTCTCCACCCAGACGTAACTACACAGCAGGGCCAATGCAGCATGAATCCTGTTCAATGAATGCAGGGAAAATATTCCAAAGACAAACAGACATCAGCACACTAAAGTCCACCCACTTCAATCCAAACTAAGAGATAACTGAGTCAGCAGTCAGCATGTCCTAGCACTGAAATTCATCCAGAGCTTTCGAACTGAGTACCACTAACACATTTTGGCCAACTGAATGGACTAAATCAAAGAGAAGTAAATTTTCTACCTACAAATCT